CACTCAGTCCCGCTGAGGGGGGCGTGTTCCGGCGGGGAAGTGACGTTAATGCATTCCCTCTATTCGAACCGAACCGAAAAACCGCGATACAGACCTCACGATTCGAATCGCGATACTCTCATTGCGTACCGAACACGCCCCGCCCCGCCCCGCCCCCTGCTAATCCCGGCCCGGCCCAGCCCAGCCCGGCTCAATAGCTGGGTTTCAGTCACGTGATTATGATGACGCGCGAAATTCAGATGGAGGGCAGGGAGTGAAGAGCGCAATGGACGAGATGGAGGAAAGTCAGTACTGTACTACTTTACACGCTATTACAAGAGAAAGAAGTAAACAAAAAAATCAATGTTGAACGTGATCCTTGCGTTATGAACAGGAGCAATTTTTCAACTGAATTGAAAGATTTTCCTGCCATCGAGGCGGTAGATATCAGCAACTAACGTTACCTCGTCTTACAGACATACTTTGACTTTACAAATTTCGGAAACGTTACACTTTACACAAACATAGCCCCTTAAGTTGTATCGCCTTTGATGAAGTGATCACGGCACACACGGGCATTTTCCCATTCGGCTCCTCCCGACCGCAGACGTAGGTTTACAAGCCGTTTTCCCGGAGTTTTTCGGTCAATTTCTTGCATTTTCCCCCCTTATGAACAACAACTTTTGGCACACGATAAAAACTCCTCGTGGTTTGATCGATATAAGTAACCATAAACGACGCAAAACATAGGCATTTTGAGTTTGTTATAGTGCTTTCTAAATACAGCAAATCACTTCCTGCCCTCCATTTGCATTTCGCGCCATGGCAACGCAGTGGCGTGACGTCATATGAAAACAAGCTATGGACCTCATGTCCTATGTGTACACAACGAATTCAGTTTTGTAGCCTAACCACCATTAACACCAAATAACAAGCTCCGTGTTTTGTTACTTTCGATAATAAGCATGGTGTAATCTTTCAAATTCTGTCTATTTGATCACGAAATTCAAACAATAAATGCCGTTTTGGCGCTCTTTGATTTGCCGTGACAGATCGCTGTAGGCCTAACGTTACTAGGCTCCTCATTTCAAGCAGCAGCGCGGCGCGCGAGTAAACGCGATCATCTCTTCCTCAGTTACAGAATGGACACCTAAAGGTTTGTTGAAAGATACAGTATACTTATTGAAAGGCATCATAACTCGTGTAATCGCTCAGTCAGTGTTTCAGCAGCGGAAAGACGTCAATAAAACAGCATAGCTTGTCACTAGCATATTTACCTCAACAGCCAAGTGATTCAGTGTCCATAACGTTGGTTCCTAAATGAACTCTTGCACTAAATAAATGCACTATGTTAGCTTATATATTATATTTTACTTAACCTGTTAATGATATCTTGATTATTTAATGTATGTTTAAAATATCTTTCATGAAAATGACAACTGTGTAAATTATTATATTTCAATAACAAATTAGAGTAAAAACACAAGTTAATGCAAAAACTGCCTTATGTTCAGTTTACATGTTTTCATACAATGTGTTGTGTGTTGTTTATTATATCTAAAAAAAAAAAATAGCATCTGAATTTAGGTTAAAAGTCTAGGCTACAACCTTTAATGTTATAGTAATGTGCGGCTCCCTAGCTTGTGAAAAGTTTAATTGTAATTTAATTAATTTAAAGACAAAGACAATTTTTTCATTAAACCACTGTTTAAAAAAAACAAACAACAAAAAGCAATTTTAGCTTTCCGAACCGAACCGAGACGTCAAAACCGTGGGAAAACCGAACCGTCAGTTTTGTGTATCGTTACACCCCTAAAATTCATCCCAAAAGTGTTCTGTCGGGGTTAGATCAGGACTCTGTGCAGGCCAATCAAGTTCCTTCACACCAAACTCGCTCATCCATGTCTTTATGGACCTTGCTTTGTGCACTGGTGCGCAGTCATGTTGGAACAGGAAGGGGCCATCTCCAAACTGTTCCCACAAAGTTGGGTGAATGAAATTGTCCAAAATGTCTTGGTATGCTGAAGCATTAAGAGTTAAGCCCAACCCCTGAAAAAAAAACCCCACCATAATCCTCCCTCCACCAAACTTTACACTTGGCACAATGCAGTCCGGCAAGTACCGTTCTCCTGGCAACCGCGAAACCCAGACTCATCCATCGGATTGCCAGACAGAGAAGCGTGATTCGTCACTCCAGAGAACACGTCTCCACTGCTCCAGAGTCCAGTGGCGGAGAGCTTTAAACCACTGCATCCGACGCTTTGCATTGCACTTGGTGATGCTTGGATGCAGCTGCTCGGCCATGGGAACCCATTCCATGAAGCTCCCTACGCACTGTTCTTGAGCTAATCTGAAGCCCACCCGAAGTTTGGAGGTCTGTAGCTATTGAGTCAGCAGAAAGTTGGCGACTTCTGCGCACTGTGCGTCTCTGCATGCTCTGAACCCTGCTCTGTGATTTTACGTGGCCTACCACTTCGTGGCTGAGTTGCTGTTGTTCCAAATTGCTTTCACTTTGTTATAATACCTCTAACAGTTGACCGTAGAATATTTAGTAGAGAGGAAATTTCACGAATGGACTTATTGCACAGGTGGCAACCTATCACGCTACCATGCTTGAATTCACTGAGCTCCTGAGAGCAACCCATTCTTTCACAAATGTTTGTAGAAGCAGTCTGCATGCCTAGGTGCTTGATTTTATACAACTGTGGCCATGAAAGTGATTGGAACACCTACTCAATGATTTGAAGGGGTGTCCCAATACTTTTGGCGATATAGTGTGTGTATATACACTCACCGGCCACTTTATTAGGTACCCCATGCTAGTAACGGGTTGGACCCCCTTTTGCCTTCAGAACTGCCTCAATTCTTCGTGGCATAGATTCAACAAGGTGCTGGAAGCATTCCTCAGGGAGTTTGGTCCATATTGACATGATGGCATCACACAGTTGCCGCAGATTTGTCGGCTGCACATCCATGATGCGAATCTCCCGTTCCACCACATCCCAAAGATGCTCTATTGGGTTGAGATCTGGTGACTGTGGAGGCCATTTTAGTACAGTGAACTCATTGTCATGTTCAAGAAACCAATTTGAAATGATTAGAGCTTTGTGACATGGTGGAAGTAGCCATCAGAGGATGGGTACATGGTGGCCATAAAGGGATGGACATGGTCAGAAACAATGCTCAGGTAGGCCGTGGCATTTAAACGATGCCCAATTGGCACTAAGGGGCCTAAAGTGTGCCAGGAAAACATCCCCCACACCATTACACCACCACCACCAGCCTGCACAGTGGTAACAAGGCATGATGGTTCCATGTTCTCATTCTGTTTACGCCAAATTCTGACTCTAACATCTGAATGTCTCAACAGAAATCGAGACTCATCAGACCAGGCAACATTTTTCCAGTCTTCAACTGTTCAATTTTGGTGAGCTCTTGCAAATTGTAGCCTCTTTTTCCTATTTGTAGTGGAGATGAGTGGTACCCGGTGGAGTCTTCTGCTGTTGTAGCCCATCCGCCTCAAGGTTGTGCGTGTTGTGGCTTCACAAATGCTTTGCTGCATACCTCGGTTGTAACGAGTGGTTATTTCAGTCACTGTTGCCCTTCTATCAGCTCGAACCAGTCTGGCCATTCTCCTCTGACCTCTGGCATCAACAAGGCATTTCCGCCCACAGAACTGCCGCTCACTGGATGTTTTTTCTTTTTCGGACCATTCTCTGTAAACCCTAGAGATGGTTGTGCGTGAAAATCCCAGTAGATTAGCAGTTTCTGAAATACTCAGACCAGCCCTTCTGGCACCAACAATCATGCCACTCAAATCACCTTTCTTCCCCATACTGATGCTCGGTTTGAACTGCAGGAGATTGTCTTGACCATGTCTACATGCCTAAATGCACTGAGTTGCCGCCATGTGATTGGCTGCTTAGAAATTAAGTGTTAACGAGCAGTTGGACAGGTGTACCTAATAAAGTGGCCGGTGAGTGTATATATATAAATATATATATATATATATAATGTATACACACACACTATATTGCCAAAAATATTGGGACATTATTTTTTGACAGTAATAATTAAGATGTCTACAGTCACATGGGTCAGGAAACTTGGTCCAGCTTTTTTGGGGGGTCTCTAAATGAAAATTGTATTTCTGGAATACTTCACTTAAGTTCACTCGTTATGCTTTGTTTAATTTAAAATGCAATGATCTGTATTCTCATACAGAAGATATTGTGTGCTTACCTGGAGACTTGGTGTGAACACTCTGCACGACACATGAATCAAGTGAAACCCAATATTTAGATTAAGTGAGGTGGGATATTTATTTATGGATGTGCCGTGCTACCTCAGTGTAAACATCTTAAAAAGAAACCTGCTATCAAAGTGTGAATACAACTTTGTGAGATTGAGGCTTTGTTATTGTCAGTTTGGGAGACAGTGAAACTTTCAAGTAGAGTGAAAACAGATAAAGCGGACAGCGAGAGAGGGAGAGGAGAGAGAGAGAGAGAGAGAGAGAGAGAGAGAGAGAGAGAGAGAGAGAGAGAGAGAGAGAGAGAGAGAGAGAGAGAGAGAGAGAGAGGGTGGTGATTCAATTAATATGTTGAGCTGTCTCACCAACAAAGCGTTATTTGTTGTTGTTTTTTTTCTTCACATCATTAAGATTTTCTCCTAAAGACTTTCTCCCAGACAATCATGTCTTATTGTTACAGTTGTTCACTTTCAGCCAATTGTCTGAGGCAACGATTAATTTTAATGAACATGTAAAGACAAAACACAAAGACCATCAAATAAAAGAGAGAAACCATTACTAAATGCTTAAGGTATTGAGTAATGGTAGCCCACAGTGGAAGATGTGCTGTATTTAAGCATTAAATTGCCTTTCTTTGTGTATAATATTTAGTTATTTTTCTTTCATTTTAGCTTGCATGTTCAACTGTGATTAGGTGGGTTAGCTGATTTAGAGCAACACTCTTTCAAAAAGACTTAATTTCATTACAGGTTATTGTGTCTGTGTGTTTCAGATAAAAGGACCTGGGAAAACTATAGAAGAGAGACGTTCCAGTCTGGATGCTGAGATCGACTCCCTGACCAGCATCCTTGCCGACCTAGAGAGCAGCTCACCATACAAACCGCGCACGCCGCAGGTACCATCATTACAAACATTACAAATCCCCTTCAAACCTCCTCCAACCACATTACCTGAACATATATGAATCTAATATGAAACCATATTAAAAAACATTCTGAAAGCTTCATAGATTTAGAAATGGTTGCATTTTAATATGATATAACATCAATAATTTATACATAATTAAATGATCATTTATACCGCTCTGTAAACATAAAGTTAATATTTTAAGTTAATATAGCTAACATTTTAAACTCAATATTGCCAGATACTCTCTTTCTCCAATGAAAATATTTCCAAACAAGAATCAATCAGTGTATTTGAACAAAAAAGTAAATTCAACGACTCCTACTGAAACAATGTATCCTGCGGCCAATCAAATTTGAGGACCAAACCTATAAGTTTAAATATTAGATTATCCTTACAATTTAATGTGGTTCACAGCAAATTCCTCCATTATAGTGGAGACTGAAATATTTTATGCAATGAAGATTCACTATGAATATTCATAATTGGTGTGGATAGGAGAAATAAAGAAAGTCATCCATCCACAGTGTCATCTATAATTCTGTGTAAGTTGCAGACTTGTGCCTGTGAAAATAACTCAAAATCTCTTGCTTATATTTTTTCTCTATCTTATTTATTAGCCTTTATTTCAGTCCCACAGTGAATCGAATTGAATGCGGAGGCCCTTCTTAAAAAGAAAAAAACCCACACACACAGGTTCCCTGTTATCACACACAAAAAAAAGATTAACCAATTTAGGTTGTTCGTCGAGACAGATGAAAAGCAAATCATAACGTGTAAGTGTACCAGTCATTTCTCATTTTTGGAAAGTGTTATAGTCTAAAATTATAATGACCCATATCATTAATAGATATCAAATGAAGTTAAGAGCAGACACTCAAGTTGAGCCCTAGGGCACTTTACTAAATAGTTCAACACACAATGAATGTAGGCCAGTGCATTCAGAGTCAATGCTGTCGCATTTGGAGCAACCACAAGTCCCTCCTGTTGGCAAACAGCACCACAGATAGAGCTCGCCTTATTACATGGCCAAAGCTTAATAATGGAGAGTGCTGTCTCTGAACTAGAAACACCCTGCTTTTGGCAAGCGGTCTATGTTCCTCTTTCCTTCTCTGGGGTTGGTCTATTGCATTTGCTGATCTCTGGAGTCCTCGACAGGCAGTCTTTTAAAATTATTATTGAGCATAAAGTCTGCACAAACACAACTCCGCAAAAAAATGAAACTAGAAAACTCTTAATCTCGAATGGAGGTTTGTAAGTATTTACGGTACGTTGATAGCTACCGTTGACATTGTCCGTTCAAATTCTTGTATTAATATGACCTGAATTTAAGTTGCAGAACTTCTCACTGATCAAGAATGCTCTGTAGGAAATAGGGATGCGTAATATATCGGGCTACCATATTGCTATCGGCTGATATATGTTCATTTTTTATGTTGTCGTTATCGGCCCGATGAGAAAATTTGGCCGATAAATTAAAGCCGATAAATAATGGATTATTTCCTTCAGCTGAGACACTTAAGATGTGAACTGTTCGCCACGATGGTTTTGAATTGCTTGAATTATGATTGGAATCACTTCAAAAAAGAAAAATACAACATGTAGCGAAAATTTGTCACTTAGGCTGCATATATATGTAAATATATTAATGGACATACTACACCTGCCATGTTCACATTGGCTTTTGTCCTATATCTTGTGCTGACAGCAACCGTGAAAGTGATTTACTCGGGTGTTGTTAAACCACTAAATTTAGCCACAAGGAGCAACCTTTATGGTACTTTTTAGGGGAATCGAATTGAGAATGCCAATTCTTGAATTGAGGTAGCAAACAGGATGCAGAATCACAATTCAAATTAAAATGTTAAATGTTCATTAGAAAAGCTAAATTTGTCAAGAAAAACTTTAAATGTTGACTTGACAAAACAGTTTGAAGTTTTGAAAACAAAAGTTTAAAAAGGCCATACAAAGATCGACGGACGGACGGTCGGATGGATAGATAGATGAAATGCCTATAGAAATGTGTATTAAGTTTATTTATGTATGTGTATTTAGTGCATTAGTTTATTAATACTTTTTTTTCTTTGAATTGCAATTCTGTCAATCAAATTCTCATGAATTGAACTGGTACCTTTGGAGCTTACACTTTTTTTTTTTTAACGTTGCCAGTCTGACAGTTCCTTGGTTCCCGTGGCCTCATTGGATAGCAGAGATGTTGTCCGACTATTGTTCGGCTACTGTATCATGAAAACTTAGCATTCGGACATCCTATTCATTTGGTATACTGCCTTTTATACACCTTGTAGCAAAGAAGTACATTTAGAGGCAGAGAGAGTCTGCCAATCTGAGACATAGACCATGTTTCCTAAGACACAGTCGTGATGAAGCAACACTGTAGAAATTCCTGGGGGAAACAGCGTGATGAGGGGTCAAGAGGTCACATATCAGTGTCTGAGCCAAAAGCTCTGTTTTTATTCATAGCGAAACAGGCTTTGACCTCAGTTCCGGCAAACGCAGAGGCCAATGGTACAGTGTGCTGAGGAAACATTAATGTTGCTCTCAGCAAAGTGAGGCTGATTTAGTAACAAGTACTACAAACATGCGCACACACACACAGAAATATGCACACTCACATTTAAAGCACACAAATGTCTACACACATTGACAGGCGCGCATTTTTAAAGGTCATGCACCTGCACACTTTTGAAGTGGCAGGTAAGTTTTTCCTAAATAAAATATAGTCTAAGTGCAGATCTTTGTAAATGTACTTTGTGAGAGCTACAAGTAACAGAAAGGAGTCTGAAAGCTTTTGTCAGTAGACTTGAAAAATTTATACAGCCAGAGAAAACACAGTGTTAGAGAGAAAACAGCCTAAGTAATTTCTGGTATCGGGGTTAAATCTCAGGATCAGCCTCAGTTGCTCTGATATCTGTCTGCTCATTTGGCCATTTATGACAGCGTTTGTCCACCAGAGCGTGGAGTATATGATTTTGGTATGTCCAGTGTTTTCCAGAATTTACTGTAATTGTAGATTAAATTAATGTTGTAATTAAATGGAACACGAGGTGTCTTAAAATGATTATGCTATGATGAGTGAGTAATTTATTTCTCATTGTTTTGAAATGTCACCATAGAAATGTATATATATTTTCTATTTTATTTGAATCAAATAACCTTCATTATGAAACATAATGGAAGAAATATACCAGAATGCCTGAATTCAGTGTTTTTCAAACTTTTCAACAAGTACCATATCTGATCAAATCAGACACTGCTCATGTAAAATTGGTCAATTACATTCATAAATAAATAAAAAATATGTGTGTGTGTATGTATGTGTTATGCATATATTCTGTTAAATGAAAACAATGTGGTGAAATAATTAAAACATGATAGTGTTAATGGTTTTGACCTAAAACAAGCTCACAACTTTATTTATTCTGTAATATGTTATATGAAAACAATGTGGTGAAATAATTAAAACATGATAGTGTGTTAATTGTTTTGATTGAGCAAACTCACAAATTACAGAAAAATAAATGTATTTTGACATATCTATGGATAAATATGCATAATTACTGTAAATCAATGCTAATTATTTTAAATGTATTTGGGTTTCCATGTTTTATGGTGACTTTCCATTGACATAATGATTTTTATACTGTAGAAACTGTATATTGTATCTCCTAACCATACCCCTAAATCACAAAAAAACTTTCTGCATATTTTACATTTTAAAAAAACATCATTAAGTATGATTTATAAGCTGTTTTTCTCATGTGGACCAAAAAATTTCCCCACAAGAGCAACAATTTCTGATATTACTATATTGTGGGGACATTTTAGGGAATACCTGGAACACCTAACACACACTCACTCACTCTGTCAGTCACTCTATCTCTCACTCTATCTCTCTCACTCTCTCACTCTCTCACACTCTCTCTCTCTCTCTCTCTCTCTCTCTCTCTCTCTCTCTCTCTCTCTCTCTCTCTCTCTCTCTCTCTCTCTCTCTCTCTCTCTCTCTCTCTCTCTCACACTCACTCACTCACTCACTCACTCACTCACTCACTCACTCACTCATGCACGCACACACACACGCATTCATCTCACACATTCTTATACATTCCAGCTAATGTTGCTTCTGGCTGATTAACTTGATTTGACCTTTTTATCAATCCAGCGGATCTGCCAGGCCTTTATTTTCCCCTCTGTTTATCTTATATGAATTATTTGTTAGAGTGACTCTTGGCTTGTTTAATGTGCCAGGTTTTATAGCTAAGGCCACTGGCACAGCTGCTCTGTCTGTAATCTTCCACTTGTACAAGCAGAGAGTAACAGTTCACAGTGCTCCCAAATCACAGAGCCTTCTCTCAGAAATCAATAGAAGTGCTCTTCCCCTCGTCCCTGTTTAGAGCTTTAAGGAAAGTGACTCTATCCCTGTTTGGGTTGAAACCTGTAGTAAAGGGACCTGCTTTGTGGTCTTTTTTTTTACGCATGTGTTTGTTAGTGTGTGTGTGTGTGTGTGTGTGTGTGTGTGTGTGTGTGTGTGTGTGTGTGTGTGTGTGTGTGTGTGTGTGTGTGTGTGTGTGTGTGTGTGTGTGTGTGTGTGTGTGTGTGTGTGTGTGTGTGTGTGTGTGTGTGTGTGTGTGTGTGTGTGTGTGTGTGAAATGGCAGCTGGACTTGTTTTGCAGCTTTGACTCAACCTGATGCTTTCAAACCTATCAAAATAGTTATCTTTGCTTTAGCTGGTGCTCTGTGGATGTAACAAGATCAAATGAATTGTGATCATTATATAAACCCCATTTGCTTCCATCATTCATCTCTCCAGCCAGACGCCTGTCCCAGCAAACAGACTCACATACACAAATACACACAGTAGGATCCATCCAAGAGGCAGTTCTGAGTTTGGCATAGATTAGCATAGACGTTTCCCCTTTCACACCCAACGGGTTGAATCAGAAATACTCTTTATGGGAATGCAGTTAATTG